GATTGGCTCAAGAAGAAGCATATTAAGGTCATGGAGTGGCCTAGTCAGTCTCCAGACCTTAATCCCATAGAAAATCTGTGGAGGGAGCTGAAGGTTCCAGTTGCCAAACATCAGCCACGAAACATTAATGACTTGGAGAGGATCTGCAAAGAGGAGTGGGTCAAAATCCCCCCTGAGATGTGTGCAAACCTTGTGGCCAACTACAAGAAACGTCTGACCTCTGTGATTGCCAACAAAGGTTTTGCCACCAAGTACTAAAGCACGTTTTGCAAAGGGATCAAATACTTATTTCATTCATGAAAATGCTAATTACTTTAACTTTTTTGTAATGCGTTTTTCTGGATTTTTTTTTTTGTTATTGTTGTGTCTCACTGTTCACATGAATCTACCATTGACATTGTAGACTGATCATTTCTTTGTTAGTGGGCAAACTTATAAAATCAGCTGGGGTTCAAAAAATATATTCCCTGACTGTATATATATATCAGTCAGTTAAATATTACTTTACCTATAACCGAGTTAAACAGAAATTATTCAATGGATTTGCTTAGTCAGGGACACTTGGTGGTCATTTCGGCAGAATAATACAATGAACACTATAAAATCTTTCTTACCGTCGCTCTGTGTTGTATGACATTAGGCTATATACGAGCTAATAAGGAAGCACTTAATTGGCGAGCATTTGCATTGGGTTCAGTGTGCTTTTCAGTACCAGATCAAAGGGAATGCATGAGATCTTATTACTTAGTGGATTTCTAACTTTTCCAGTGGTTGCTGACATCCTTTGTGAGTTCCTGGAGGTTGCTATTCATCTCATCCTGTATGTCCGTGAAGTTTATCCCTCTGGAATATTTCAGAAGAGAAAGAAATACAATGTGCCTGTGCAGGTACAGCTGAATAAATATACAGTATGTGTAATTATCATGTGTTGATAGTTTGTAGGAAGGTATATCTGTTTATATCTCTAATACTAGTCTTTTGTATTTGGCTTGTTTGTTTTCAGATGTCATGTCATCCAGAGCTGAATCAATATATCCAAGATACACTACATTGTATAAAGCCACTCATCGAAAAGGTACTGTAAGACCTCTCCTGAAGCTGAGAGGTTAATCTTAGGAATCATATCAGCTCTCATCTACTTGTATAGTCTGCTGAATTCTTGTGTTTCCCTCCTAGAATGATGCAGAGAAGGTGGTAGTGGTCATCATAGACAAAGAGCATCATCCAGTTGAAAGATTTGTATTTGAGATTTCCCAACCTCCACTGCTGTCAATCAGGTTTTCCTCTTCTTGTTCCTAGTAATGGATGTAAATACATTACACCCTATGTTCTTCACATACGGTTGTAACATGAACATGCTTCTTCATGGTGATTGTGGTCACTAATCCTATTTTTGTCTTTACAGCTCTGACACATTACTTTCACATGTGGAGCAGCTGCTGAGGGCATTCATTCTAAAAATCAGTGTCTGTGATGCTGTTTTAAATAATAACCCACCAGGTAACATCATGTAGTATTACATTAAGTATACTACAAACATATCGTGCCCTCGGGTTGATGTGTAGAGGTCATATTTATATTTCTAAATATCAAATGGATTTGTTCCAAGTCTTGACATTTTACATTTAGCTGGTTAATGTTGGACATAACTCTAGAAACTCTAATACAGTTGCACAGATTAGGCAGATATTCATTGGCTGAATTAAAAGAGAATTAAGCTTGTAATGATAAAGACTCAGTTGTTAAGGAAATTATGACATATAAGTTGTATTCAGGTGGGAATAAATACAAATAATAGACCTTTTTGTGTGTGACTTTTTATCACAGGGTGTTCATTTACAGTATTGGTACATACCAGAGATGCTGCTACACGCAACATGGAAAAGGTTCAAGTCATCAAGGTGAGGGTTTTAAAATTTGCAGCTTCACAGATTGCCACGTGATGCATTAACACTAGTTTGACTGTTGTCACATTTGTCCATTTCACTCTTCAGGATTTTCCATGGATTGTTGCTGATGAGCAGGAGGTCTACATGCAGGAGCCTAGACTGATCCCATTGAAGACCATGACATCTGACATAGTAAAAGTGAGATTAACACTTGACTGATTTTGTGATTATGTTTTTCAGAGTTGTCATTAATGTCATGTTCAGATTCCCCTATTCCTATTTATATTTGGTTGGGATTTTTATTTATTTATTTATTTTTATTTTTTTTTTGTCTGTGTGTTTCTCAGATGCAGCTCTATGTGGAGGAGAGAGCCCAGAAAGCATAAGTCCTTACGCTACAGAAATGAGGGCTTTTTCTGCACAAGCAAATCTCTGACAACGCTGGATCATAAAAAAGTACAGAACACAGCCTATCAGACCTGGAACAGTCTGAAAGAAATAAGAGTGTTTGTTGGACACATGAGTTAATTAGGAGTGAGATGTTCCTTATGAAACGTGTCTGTTAGGTGCATACATTACGCTATGGGTTGGGTTGGGCTGTTGCATCTGATGGACATTTTATGAACAATCAAGTCTGGTCCCAACAGTTTGTTGCCTGCCTGTGATTTTAGCAAAACCCATACAAATGTACGTGACTGTAGTTCTATTTTTATGCCATGCTTTGTTTTTTTTTTTTGCTCACAGATCTTTAGAACAACAACATCATCAAATTGAAATATAACACCATAACAATACAATTCCAGGAGTAATGGCATTCTAATGAAATAGGCCATATAATATCTACCACCAGCAGCTTCAAGCTATAGTCAACTTGTGTCAGTTCAGCCATAGCTGTGTTGTATTTTTCCTATAAAAATGTTCACTTCCCATTTTTTCTTTGTGGAAAAATTTGTCTTGTAACAGCCACAAGGAGGTCAGAAATTAAGTCATCTTGTTTGACTTGGTTTCTTAACTGACTACATTGTCCCGCTGAGCTATTGCTGTTCTGTGTATGATGTCTACAGTAGCATCGGGAATGCATTTAATTTTACTGCTGACATTCACATTTAGATTTAATATGTAAAATGTATTAAATGTAATAAAACAAAACAAGACCAACACTTGAAATCTGTCTTAGTATGAGGATTTGAACCTTGTTAATAAGCTTAACTCGTTCATCTACACAGAATAACATGTTGTGCCAGATGGCTGACAGTCTTCAACATCATCACTCAGAAGATAAGTCACTCCCTGCAGATATACAGTTATTCTCATTATGACATGACCAGCCAATGGGGAGCTGTTGCTATAGATATGTTTTAGCACAGATGTTTTCCTGTCTGTTATCAGACTATTCTTTACATAACTTTCTATGATTGACAAAAACAAACATCAGAAGTTAACATGTTACTTGAAATAGCTATATCAATATCAAACGTGCAATTACTTCTCAAAATGAGTGTCCATTTTGTATCTACTTCTCTCACAGCGTTCCATTCTCAGCACCTATGGACATAGTATCCTGTCACATATCCTAGGATGTAAATGGACACCAGTGCAGCCAAAGCTCCCGCTGTCTTCACTGCTATTCCAGTGCTGCCGGCACACACTCTCTTGTAGATGCTGTAAATGTATAAGTGAAGAGAAGGCAATAAGATCCAACAGCATTATTTTCTGTCCTGGTTCCACTACATGTCACTTTGTTTTCAATATAAAGGTATTATTGAATTGTATGTTTTTGTAGAATCACAGGGTGAAAAGGCCTCTGGAACAACAAATCCCATTATAAATTAAGATTATGTCTTATTGGTGTTAAACGCAAGTGAGGATCTGGAGAATGTTTAAAGGGAGACAATACGTCTGTTCTGCTGATGGATGCAACAACAGTCACTAGTTCCATCTATTAGAGGTACTGTAGATGACAGTGACTAAACCACATTAGATTTTTAATGAAAGTCCAATATCAAGCCCATACAAAAACACATTATCAGTGTGATCCATACATGTCCACATAAATTCAAATTTTTTTTCAGTAACATCAAAAAAATCTCTAATGCAAAAGCTTTATATTTGATCTTTTCTTTATACCCAGTGTCACTTTTCACCTTATAACAGTAGACGGCGATGCCTCTGCATTCATGTTGATGTTTTCTTCATTCCAGCGATCATAATGCACACAGCCAGCACTGTTGGAGTCCATGTGGAAAGTCCTTCCTCTCCTCACAGGCTTATCTGCGGCCTGGAATTACCACTTCACTGCTCAGCATGGAACACTGCACTATGACACAGTCAAGAGGGAAAGTTGTCTGTGTGTAAAATAATGTGTAGAACACTAGAACACATTCACATAAAGGTGCTGTGATTATTGTAAATGCAAAAGTAATGAACAGTAATTTTGATAAAAGTAATTTACTTTATAAACATTAATTGGTCTTAATAATCTGCTAATATTACAACAAAATGCATTTTAAATGGTGTTATTAAATATGATTAAAATTAGTTTTGGTGCAAATTAAACACCTCAATAAAGTATTTACCTTGATAAATCAGCTCAACATGACACAAAATTAGAATTCTAATAGAATTAGAATTCAATATATATCCCCATATTCAAATACAGTTAATTTGTGCTCACCTGTGTGAGTCAACAACCAGCCCAGAAAGCTCTGGTCTCCAGCACTGTTAAAGACATGGCTGCTTGTTGAGACCTTGGCCATAGTTCATATGCTCACGAAGGACATCCTGTCATAAATTCATTGGCTGTTGTTGTCTTCACTTCCTTATATGACTCTTTCTGAGTGATAAAGGGCAAATCAAGCTCTGAGTGCTTCTGTTAATCTCTGGTTTCATCACAGCCGGTTAAAAAGTGACCTGGTTAAATATAATATTGCTTCAAATACTTTTTCCATGAAGATCATGTACATGTTGTAGCTCTGTCTGCCGGAGTAACAGCGACCTCACGTGATTTTAGATGTAATTAAACCTAGCAATCTCAGCTACTCACTCATTATATTACCTGATATATAATAATGCCTCAAAGCCAATGTGGTGATGATTTACTGACCTTTCATTGTCACATAAGTTTACACATTCACAAAGCAAGTATCCAAAATGTAACGCATTAAATTTTAGAGTGGTTAATAAGGTAAGGGTAAGTCTTCAGGAAATGTATATAAGTCAATGTAATGTTCGCTGAAGTTATTGAAACACAACATGTGTGTGTTTGCATATGTCTTTTTATGGATGTGTGAACAAATTTTAGTTTGATACTATTGCTATGAAGACATTTTGGATTTGTGAGGACATTCTGGTCCATCTACACAACTTCATTGGGCAACTTTAGGAGTTAGGCATTTAGTTGTGGTAGTTAGGTATTTGCATGGGTTAGGGTGATAGTATGTTTGTGTGTAAATGGTGCATCGAAGAATATATGGGGTATTGTATGTTGTACACATTTTAGGCCTTCAGTTTTGAGCTATATAAATAAATGTGACCTGAAAATATTGCCTTGGGCAAACTATTATTTTTGAGCTATGAGAACATCTTTGTACAGCAGCTTGTAGATCTTGTAAAAGTGTAAAGACTTTCCCATGCTGCAATAACTTCCATTATCTTGATATTAGATTTCTGAGGGCCTCTGCTCCACTGACGCTCAGATGACCTTTGGTACAGAACACAGAACAAGCTTCTGGATGTGCAAAGCTCAACGCTGAGGCAACAGAAACAAACAGAGGAGCTGAGCTAATATGCTACATTATTGTAACCTGATCTGGAATAACCAACAAAATATGGTTCTTGAGTGTTTTACTGCTTAAATTATATTTACCCCCAGGCATTTTTGTATAACCTGTGACTTTAAAATCTGTGAATTTGCCTCTTTTAAGTCAAAGGTAGGACAATGTTATCCTTTATTAGGTTGTTTATTCCGACTTCATACCTCCTACCAGGATGGTTGACGCTAGATATAAATCCAGTGGAAAGTTTACTTCAAGGTGAGCTTCTCATCTCTTCACGATCTCTGCTGTCAATATTATTATTATTATTTAAGTGTATAGGTGATTGGTGTGTGTTATTGGTTGTAGTGTAAATTCAGTGTTATATGACCTGCAGGACTGGTCGGTGCGTGTGGGATTTCTGTGTTATGTTCCTTGATGAGAGTGCACTTATTTGTAGAAGAGGAGAGGTGAGGATATTGTTAACAGATCTGTGCTTGAAGATGAATTTTGGTGTTAAGTTGTATAACATGATCAGTTTTCAAGTTTTATTATTTTTTGTCAAAATATTCCTGTTTCAGTTCAGACTGTTCAGTGTTTACAGTTTAATTTCTTACTTAATTTTTTTTCTCACAACCGACAGCTGGAGTGATAAAAGTGATAAAGACACATCAAGCCAGAGGACACCCAGTCATCAAAGGAGACCTCACGCTGGACTTACAGGGATGCTCCAGTTTTTCTTCGTGGCTCTGATGCTGGCTGTAGTGGGCTCTCGTGTTGCCTCCCTGGTCGTACTAGAATTTTGTCTTCGTGCTGTCTCTGGATGGGTTACAGCTGGACCAGTAAGGAACAAATTATGTCATTAAAAATATGACTAATACTCAACTGTATTGCCTAATTGGCTCTACTGTTCAATTTTACTGAGTTGTCATGATGACTTATGAGATCTGTAATAACAAACAGCCAGTCATCTGTTTTGATTCTGCTGATTTGCTCCTTTATTCCTTCAGGAGTCCAGGAAATTTCTGCAGCAGCTATTAGTTCAAAGCCAGTTCTCTCTGGGCTGTGCCCTAAGCTGCAGTTTGCACTTTCTCCACGAGGGGGCATCACGGCGCTGGCTATGTCTGCTCTTGGCAGCTGCACTCAGCTGGTTCCTGGCTAGGCAGGCTTCACGCCTGCTGCACCATGTCATGATTCTGTATAAACTCCACAGCTCACAAAGCTACTGTGGGATTTGCATCAGCCTTCTCGCATCAGGCCGCTGTCTGCTGCCCATGCTTTGCAGGACTATGATGCTTACCTTCTTTGTGGCTGTGCTGGCTGCTGTATCAATCATTAATCAACACTTCCTTTCAGCAACAGAGGCCCTCAGGTTTTGGACACCACTGACTATTTGCTACACACTCTTGGTGGTGTACATGCAAGGTGAGAAACATATAAAAACAAAATATAACTAAAGAAATGCTAGACATTAAGGTGCAATGGTCATCAGAAACCGATAAATTTGGGCAGGACCTTCAAACAAGCCCAGCCTTTAACAGCATAATAGTACAGGCCCATCTCAAGATATCAGAGATAAAATATTTATAAGGTTATTGCTTCTTTCTTGTTTGATCACTAATGCATCTCACATTGATTTAAGCATACTGTACTAACCCTAATGCTTTTAAGCTATTGCACAAGCCTGTCATACAATTTCACTGAATATTTTCTTCTAATGCTGCATTTTGGTTGTGCAGAAGATCAGCACCGTCTGCCCAGCGGCCAGGCTGTCCTAAACACGGTGGTGGTGCGTCTTGGGGGTTTAATGATCCTGATGCTGACTGTGGGACGCTGGGCTGATGTGCTCCACATCCTAATGTGTTTCTTGGGTGAGGCCAGCTGCCTAATCCCCACAAAAGATCTGCTGGATGCAGCATCCTCACAGGTTAGTAAAGTCTCCCTGAAAGCAGCACACAGGGCCCAAAAGCCATTCTGTCCATCAAGACACAAGAACTAGGGCAGAATATCAATCTTTTCATTACACTGGGTCCCAGAGACTGAGCTTCTCAAATGTGAATCCCAGATGGCATAGGTTTAAGACCCCCTGAGACAGATTCAAGGCAAATTATTCTCTGATTCAGAATACTGAGCCTACTTTTCATTTCACTGAGCAAGTCTGATTAAATAGGGGGTAGTTTTAAATAAAGCACATGCAGTTGATGCAGAGCAAATAAAAGAAGCTGCATTTTATGCATGTGTTGGTTTTAAATAGTGTGTTGAATCTATTCTAAACAATAAAAAAGGAGATAAAAAAGTTTAAGTTATGCATTTCATGTTTGTTTGTATATAGGATGAAGAGGATTACACAGACTATGTACAAAGAGAACATCATCGAAGACCACAAGCACAGAAGAAAGAGCATCAGAGATAGCCAAAGCTTTTAAAAACTTGGGAACTTTTTTGGTGCACTTCTTTTTAATGGGGTTATTTAGTCCTATTATGGTAACAATGCTTTTATAATTAAAATCTATGTTTCATTTTAATTGTCAAGCAGCCTAACATGACTAACATGTGATTTGATCTTGAAATATTTCCAGTTCTTCAACCACAATTTGATATTGGATAAAGATCAATCAAAACATCAATACATTACATTTATTTGCAGAAAAATGTTATTAACAATCACTGCCTCATGTGGAATAGAAAGAGGACCCTCAGTAAACTCTGGCACACACACATACACATTCATATACAGCGGGTAAAATAAGTATTGAAAACATCACCATTTTTCTCACTAAATATATTTCTAAAAGTGCTGTTGCCATGAAATTTTCACCAGGTGTCAGTAACAGCTCAAGTAATCCATACATACAAAGAAAACAAAACAAGTAAGTTCATAAATTAAGTTATGTGTAATAAAATGGACTGACACAGGGAAAAAGTATTGAACATATGAAGAAAGGGAGGTGCAAAAGACATGGAAAGCCAAGACACCAGCTGAAATCCATCAGTAATTAGAAAGGAATCCTGCCCCTTGTCAGTGGAAATTAATATCAGCTGGTTCAGGCCCAACTGATGGTCTGTAAAAAAAGGTGTCTCATTACCAAGGTGTCACACAAGAAACATCTCATGATGGGTAAAAGCAAAGAGCTCGCCTAAGACTGTTGGCATTGGTTAGAGAAGGATTTCTAAACTCCTGAATGGTTCAGTGAGCACAGTTGGGGCCATGATCCGGAAGTGGAAAGAACATAATTTCACCATAAACTGGTCACAACCAGGTGCTCCTTGCAAGATTTCTGACAGAGGAGTGAAAAGAATTATCAGAAGAGCTGTCCAAGAGCCACTTGTGGAGAGCTTCAGAAAGGCCTGGAATAACCAGGTACAATTGTTTCAAAGAAAACATTAAGTAATGCACTCAACCACCACGGCCTGTATGCGTGCTCACCATGCAAGGCTCTGTTGCTGAGGAAAAAGCATGTTGAAGCTCGTATAAGGTTTGCTGCGCAACATTTACACAAGCCTGTGAAATACTGGGAGAATATAGACTGGTTAGATGAGGCCAAATTGAACTCTTTGGATGCCATAATACACACCATGTTTGGAGGTCAAATGGCACTGCACATGATCCCAAAAACACCAAACCAACAGTGAGGTTTGGAGGTGGGAACATCATGATGTGGGGCTGTTTTTCAGCATATGGCACTGGCAAACTTCATATAATTGAAGAAAGGACGAATGGAAAAATGTACCAAGACATTCTTGATAAAAATCTGCTCCCATCTACCAGGATGATGAAGATGAAACGAGGGTGGACGTTTCAGCAAGTCAGTGATCCCAAACACACAGCCAATGAAATTCTCAATTGGTTTCAGAGAAAGAAAATAAAGCTGCTAGTATGGCACAGCCAATCACCCAACTTGAATCCAATAGAAAATCTATGAAAAGAACTAAAGATCAGAGTTCATAGAAAGAGGCCCACGGAACCTGCATGATTTGAAGACCCACTGCGTGAAGAATGGGCCAAAATCACACCTGAGCAATGCATGTGACTAGTTTCTCCACACAGTAGGCATCTTGAAGCTGTCACAACCAACAAAGGCATTTGTACAAAGTATTAAATAAATTTCAGTAAGCGTGTTCAATACTTTCCCCCCCATCATTCCATTTTATTATACAACTTAATTTCTGAAGTTTTTTTGTATGTATGGGGTTGTTACTGACATCTGGTGAAAATTTCATGTCAATAGCACGTTTAGAAATATATTTACTGAGAAAAACGGTGACGTGTTCAATACTTAATTCACCCTCTATAAATAGAGGCTATACTATATTAATCAGCCATGTCTGCACGCTTAAAAAAGGGGGAAACTAAAGAATGTTACATTTTATTTTTAACAGAAGAACTATTAAATTTATACACATGCACCACATAAATGTAACTTAAAATTGGCTAACTATAAAACCATAGTAATACATTTTTTGCATAAAATTGCAAAGGAAGTAAATTTCACAAGACTATGAAACGGGTCACATCCACATTATAGCATAAAAGTAATTCGTATTCGTTAGTATACCACATAAATGCACATACAAAACAAAATATTTAATAGGTAAATGTTAAGAGGACATAGCTATTTTTTCATGGGTGCAAACCTTCATTCACTACAGGTCTACAAAATATACTTTTTGGCAGTTGGCTAATTTCCATATAATTTATTGAACCTATAAATACAGCTAATTTCATTTTTGACATGTCTTTCCAGACATTATCTGCTTGAAAAGAAAAACCAAAATGGCTGACGACATCGTTTGTGGTGTAAAGTGGCGTTCGACAAAATGGCGTTAGACAAAGAAAAAGCTAGGTTACTTGGTTTTACTCTGACCTTTGCTCCGACGATTTTTGTGGACAATTTTAAGGAGTCAATAAACCGCATTAAAGGACACATTGCTTACTGACACACAGATGAGCTTTTACGAGATATGCTGCTGTGTTACTACCTTTGTCTCAATGCGTGACAGTTGGTCCTTATTACAATTTTAAAATGTTCTTGACACTCAACATCAAACTCAAGCCACATTTTGACGCCGATATTATTGCCCATTGGATGTGTCTTTATTAGAGCTGTGGACTGACAGACACATAGGTTCCTATTCCATAAGAGGGTTTTTGTTCTATCAGTCCCGTGATTCCGTGACAAAAAGGCTTGTGAAATTACAGTGGGCACTTTAGCCTGGCGGTCCAGTTTCCAAGATAATCCAGGTTTGAAAATCACTGAAGAGGACATTTGGATTTGGTGTCTAGTCGATCCACCAAAATAGGAAATTGTACTCCCATAGGTTTAACAGATTTTAACTGAATAGAGTTCCACATCAGGACGAATTCGGTAGACACAAAGAGGCCGTTTTCCCCGACTGCCCGAATGTGGTGAAAATGCACAATGAAGTGATATAGACGGCTGTGGTCACTCCTCTGGAGATTTCCAGACTTTTCTGTTGTCATCTGATAGGCATGCTGAACGCATGCGCAGAACGGCCCCCTTTTTACCGCATTCTAACGCAGGCGCACTTCTGCCTATAATACCCCGTCGTCATTCTTAATATAGTAACAATAGCAGAATAATGCTGTAATGTAGTAACAGCTTTCCTAAACAGATTTTTTATTCAGTGATGTGTCCTTTACGCTAAATCCTACATTCACCTCTAGCATGGCTATCGGCAAAAAGTACTGAGGGGCAAAGTAACAAAAACATTTTATATAGACTACAGATGTTAAGCCCCAGATTAAGCTGACATTTTTAAGTAATGTACAAATTTAGCAAGTCTCATAAAAACAGATCAGAACAGTTTAAAGGATACTGTTTCAAGGTAAACATAAAAAGTACAGTTTACCTCTCATCAGTGCTTATCACCATGAACTCTTAGACCTTTGGACTGGCCCTATTGTCTCACATTACTTATCTTAAGACGGAGATCAGACCAGGTGAAATGCTTGACTCAATAGGCTCTGTGTTACTGTATAACCCACTAGCAAAAGTATAAGTAGATTGTTCAAAACTTTATTTTTTGACAGATGACAAAAATTTCAGTCAAAAGGCAGAATCAGACATATTTTCTGGTAAAATTGTGGTTCTAGTTATATTAAATGTAAAAATGATATATGTTTTATGAATTACTTTTGTTCTCATGTTTGTGTAATTGTTCTGTGATAAACTGTGACAGGTGTCTTATTTGTGCTAGTCAGCAAAACCTAATACAATCCTTTCCTTTGAGCGACATTTGTTTGTGCAAAAATATCGGGGCTTTTTCTTCTGAATATATAAAATCAACTCACTGCCACCAGAGAGGACTTTGATTTGACTGGATAATTTTTTTCCTGCAATTTTCCACAGCTTGTGTCAATAATGTGGGCTTGTGAGCTGAGTCTACTGTTTACAGGCAACAGTAACTGTTATACAGGTAATGTAACAAAATACAGGATAAATAAACATTATGTAACTTACTAACAGCTTCCGAGCTTCAGTGATTCTCCAAGTCTTTCAACTCTACCTGGGATGAAACTTCAAAAATATAGTCATTTGGTGCCTTGATGATGATGATGGTGGAGTTTGATGATAGATATTACATTGAGCTCTGATTGTGAAGGCCGTAACATTCATGTATTGTCAAATCATTCACGTAGTCCTTATGCCCTTTACGGAAACATCAACATGATGTTCCTCTGCACCTTTTCTTTTAAATCTCATCCATTTAAATGGCTATAGTCTTTAAATTCTATTGAAAAAAACTAAAATTAGTTATCTTAAACTTAGACATAGAGTCTAGACTGTGATGTATTGTTATGAAGCTTCTATATTAACCTAAGGGAATAGTTCTGTTGAAAATAATTGAGACTACAATTTAATAGGGTAGTTTCAGTGCTGTTCTGAAGCTCATCACCTCAAATGCTTTGATCATTACCAGTCACAGTCTCCTACAGTGCAAGCTCTTAGTTTCCTATTTCCTGCAGTCTAACATTTCCACTTTATGTGTCAAAATCTTCAACACAACTTTTTTAGACTCTTTAAGAGGACGGTGGCCAGCTTAGCAAACTTTGCATAACTGCTCTGCATTTAATATTGTTTTATTGATGCAAGATGTTAAGTCTGGGGATAAAACAATTAGTGATGGCTAATAGGTCATCAGGCTATGCATCCATTTTTCAAACTTTTTTTTTTCTTGTTTTTTTTTTCAGGTTTCCAGCAGGTTGGAGCCCATCCCAACACTGAGCCCATCCCAATCACACTCTGTAATTAGGCTAGTGATTAATTATTGACATAGACCTACAAAACAATCGGCTAGAGGGAGCAATCTTGAATGCTCTTTTGTTACTTTTTTTAATGTGGACACTTTATTATATTTAAACCCTTATAAAACTGTTAAGCCTGTTTGTCTAATTTTACCGTATGCAAGGCTCCTCACCTTGTCATACCCAACCAGCAGCATTGATGGGATTCTCTTGTCAGTCAAAGGCTTCTCACGTCAAGGCACCAACGTTCAACCGGGGGTTTTCTCACGCATGCGCAGGGGCGGACAACTATCTCATCGGGGAGAAAAAAAGAAGTTCACACACAAAGCCACGCCTGCGCGGTGTGCTTCTCATTACAGGCTAACTTGCTGCATCTTTTTAGGAAGCTACATGCTTTCTTTCGACACCCAAAGGTCGCATGGTGTCAGGGACGCGCCTAGTCACGGGAACAGTTTAGAGCGCGTTCATGAGGTGCAAGATCGCGCTTTAACACTGAGGAGCCAACCTAATGGTTTACATAGGGTCACAACGACTAATCAATGATTTGTGCCGAGTATTTTTGTCTTGTCCGGCGTTTATTTTGCAAACATTTTCTATTTTGCACGGGAAGAAACTGACATAGCAAACTCATCTGTATGATCGGGGATCAGGAGCACACAGTATGGTCCGGGAAACCAGACATTTATGGGTGGGAAATTTACCCGAAAATGTCCGAGAAGAGAAGATCATTGAGCACTTCAAGCGGTGAGTAGCAACACTAATGAGAGACGTGTTTTGTAGTGTAACGACGAGCGCACGGCTAGCATCTCTGTCTGCTGTGTCACATTTTAGTGAATTCGGGATGAACCAGGAGGTTCCCCTGTAGCAAAGTCCCATTTGGCAACTGTGCTGTCAGCTCTCCATAAGCAACAACACTGGGCTGCGTTTTGACTGAGGTGACAAATGAAAACGGGTGGCACGCTTCAACCACCCAGACAGAGCACACACGATTTTGCCATTTTGACACCCAACTTGCAGGCTAGGTGTCAACTTTACCTGCCCTTTCATGTAGTGTGGCTGTACATTCCCACCAGGTAAACACTTGACTTTTACGCAGCCCATTTCCTCACCTGGGGATAATTTTTCTACAGCATAGACGCTAATAGCACACGGACGATGTAAACAAACACTAGCATACTTACCAAGCTGCTTGCATTGTACACAACATGCATTTAACAGTCTGCAGACAACACGAATTGTGCTGCCGTGGGTTTCTGGTGCCCAAGTAAACCAGGGACCCGGTGTTTCTCTTGATTCTCTGCGAGTTTGTCAGCCACCCAAACGTGTAGGCTATAAAGTATGGTTAATGTGCACATCTGTGTGAGGGTACTGTAGTTGTGAAAAGAGTCGGATATGTTTTCGAAATCTAACACAAGTCAGTGAAACCTGAAGGGTGACGCGACATCACGCCGCCATCCACATTGCAACATTGTTGTAAGCTGCCTGTGATTGAACAGAGCACTGTGTATGTTATCCGATATGCAACATCGTAACGTTGTACACGGCTACCGCCGTCTGCTCGGCGCGCGTGTGAACAGAAAACGGCTCGTTGCTACATAATAACCGCGTAGCTTCCCCACAACCTGCAGCGTGATCTGATTTAAGGGAAATCAGACAACGTATCCACATTTTAATTACAGTATTGCACTCGAGTTCCATGTGTGGTTTTTGTTTGGGCTGTTGTTGCGGACCAGATACACGCACCATTTATGGGCTCGTAGCTCTTTGTCTTCCTTTGACAGAAGGAAAAAAATGTAAATATGACTTTTTGTGTGGCTATCGGGGTTGTCTACGCGCTCTCGCCTCTCTCTTCTCGGCTGTCAAGGAAATAGCAGCCCGCCTCTCCGTCCATATGTGCTGGAGACCAGGCTGCCGAAAAACACCATAGTCCACCTATATGAGCAACGCTGCGTTTTTTTCTCCTGTGTAGGCGTCGCCATATCGGACGAAAGCTGCTAAATTATACACATAAAGCATAGGCCTACATGTCTGTCCAACCAAACTGGAACCGACGGGCACATTGTCCCACAGCAACCTACGACTGTTTTAAATAGACAAAGTGATGATAATGAATGCGGTGCTTTACACTGTTCTTATTACTTACGGTACATGGATACAGTGATTAAAATACACATGGTTCGTGCGTGTTTCCTTGCAGAGCGCCCAGTAATGGGATACCTATAGCCTATATCGTGTTTTATTTACATTAGTCCGTGTTATGGTGTGCGTAACGTTATGTTTGGATGATGGTGACTGACAGCATGTTATTGCAGTAGCAGAGGGGGAACTGTCAGCCAGTCCTTTTTAGTGTGCTGCCCCGGCTCCAGCGCTAACCCGCGGGTAGTCAGAGTATGCAGGTGCATGACAGCCCGATGTGTGATAGAAGTCAATGAAGATGGGGGACGGCTAAATGAGTAAGCAGTGTGAACAGCTTTTCTAAAATGGCGTCGACGGCTGTTCAATGTTGGAAACTGGCTTGCCAATAAATTTGTGGGCACCCTACTGGTCTCTGTCGGACAGCGAAAATACACTCCAGAAAGACCCTTGGAGGGGCAGGGAAGGGACTGAACGCATAAATATGATAGCAAGCTTTGTAAGCCTGGGCTGGGCTTGTAAGTTTTGTGTAATGGCTTTCCCATCAGTCAGTTCAGACATCACTTATTGGGGCATTTTTTCATTTGGCTTATCATCGAAAGATGTTCATATACTTCAGTTAAAAACCACACATTTTGATGCATTATAATTAAAGCTGGATGGGAGGGGTATTAAATTGTACCTGACAGAGGAACCAGAAAGAGGTGTGTGTATATAGATAAACACAAATAATTAAGATGTTTTTAACCCATACACAGCAGTCCAGGAAATGCCACCTCTTCCTAAGCGTTGGCCAAGCCTCAACCCTTTGAGTAGAGATAACCTCATGAGGGTTCCTTCTTCCTAGAAAACGTGCTAATGTAAGAAAACATATGCACTGATTACCATGCAGTGTGCCAAGGTTTCATGTCCTGTTGCTGGGTTACTGTTGCCTTGTAAGAAAGTACCACAGAGCAGAAACCAGGAGTGGCTAAGACACTTTACCTCCTAGCCCTGCTCACACACATGCGTACACACACATTGACATTGACATAACTGAATTCAGCACTATTCAATTTGAAAAAGGTACTATAATTTGGAAATTTGCATTATCATAGCTAATAATGGAGGCTGAGCTCCCCGTTTGAACAATATATTTAAAAACTGTGTTTCCTTTGCATTTTCTCTAGATATGGACGTGTGGAGAGTGTCAAAGTCCTACCTAAGCGGGGTTCAGAAGGTGGAGTTGCAGCATTTGTGGATTTCGTGGACATTAAAAGTGCTCAGAAGGCTCATAATGCTATCAACAAGATGGGGGACAGAGACCTGCGCACTGATTACAATGAACCAGGCACAATTCCTAGTGCTGCGAGGGGGCTAGACGATAGTCTGTCCTTAGGCTCTCGTGGCCGGGATGTATCAGGGTTCACAAGGGCGGCTGGGGGGGTCGTGTATGGGCCCCCCACGTCGCTCCACAGCAGAGATGGACGCTATGAACGCAGACTAGACGGGTAAGTGGACAAAGTTTCTCTGAAGGCAGGGGGAACCGTGATTTCTGGTAAACACCTTACCTCCAAGCATCTTTCCACCATCTATTCATTTACTTGTTTGGGGGTTAAAGAGGAGAAATAGAGTTAATACTCAAGAATTAAATCTTATAGGGATCCCCTTTAAAGTCCTCAGAGTGTGGCCAGCGCTCTTGGATTCATATTTACAGGTAGACACAAGATATTTAGTAAATAAGCATTTTTGTACACAAGTATGTCTTTTACTTAAATGAATAGTAAATAGTTTAAATGGCTATTGGGAATTATCTTTGTGATCTTAAGCATCACGGTGAGGTGGATATATCATTTGCGGAAAATACGGGGCAAAGATTGGATCTCGTAAAATTTCCCAGGATTATTGGAGATTGCTAAAGAGAGGGAGAGAGAAAAAGAGAGAGTGGTCCAGCAGCCATCCCTGGAATTCCCCTAATCTGGAGTTACGTGCCCTGCTCGATGGATTAATATCACCCTTTTTTTCCTCATGTAACCAAACAACCAAGAGCACACATTATATTTATAAGACGCCGTTGTTTGGATTAGTCTAATTTGGTTTTCAGTTATTGAGCAAAACTCACGGAGGTGTTCATTTCTCTCGTGGGCTGGAGTCATGTGGATAACCTACACAGGATATGTATTCCCCACTGTTGGATTAACACTGGCCAGACACCTAAAGGATATGCTATGATTCTAAAGGTATGGGTTGCTTTCTTGGTTCTTTGTTTTTCTTTGTTGTTTTATTTGGGATTATGTCTGAGATCAGGGCATTGCAGTTTGAGTGCTGGGAGACCTCTACTGGTGATCCAGCTCAGTAGAGACAACAAACAAGTGAGCAAATGACTTTTTTCCTGCCTTATTTTTGTGGAGATTATTTTTTTATTTTTCATCAAATGAGACCCTAAGATTTGCTGAGGACCAAAAGGACTGTTTGGATTGTACAGTTCAAAGAAGAAAACAGGAAATTGTGACTGGAAAGTTATTGCAATTGACACTGATGGAGATAACCTGTCTCATGTCTGTGGATTACCTCTCCTTTCTTGAATGTGGAACTATAATTAAACATTGGATACAATCACATAATCAATCAAAGAACTACAGTGCACCCATGAACCGCATTTGTCATAGCCTCAGCCCAGGTTTGGACTCCATGCAGGCTCTTCTGCTTGTAAAGGAGACCATGGATTGACATCAGACATGAGCAGCCATTAGCTTCAAAACTGAATGTTCTCCACTGGGAATGAATATAGTGCTACCATGAACAGGACTCTGGATTATCACTAGGAGACATCATCTTTATTCCTAATCTGTCATGGCCTTGTCATTCCCTTCCCTCTACCAAAGGAATTTGACTGCTGCTGTGCACAGTGCAACCAAAGTGGGGGGGAAGGTGCGGGACTTAACAAATGAAGATGCATCACTTCTGTCATCTCTGCTGCGGAATCAGCAGTGCAGTACTGAAGACAGACTCCTGGATACCATGCATTTATTTCCACTGGACTCAATCGCAACACTTTTTTTCCCCCCCCTAAATGTTTGGATGGATATATGGGCTCACACTGACATTTTCTCACATACAACATGTCCTAACTTGGATCTGTACAAGACCAAGTTTGTTTTCATCATGTTAATTAAAATGGACACTCCAGCTCATCTGTGCTGAAGTCCCCTGCCCTGAAGATGAGGATTACATTTTTTTTTTATGTGAACAATTTTGTTCCAGTTTTCCCCCCTCCACTCAACATTTTTGCTCTTTTTTTTCTGCTCACAAAGTTCTGTCTCCCTAGATTGTATTTGGAATTATAGGTCAAGTTACCACTCTCTCAAAAGGTTGGTATGTCCTGCCCTGTGTATTTTAGCTGTCCTCTCTAACCCCCTAGTTTGAACCCCTGTCTCTCTCCATTTTCCTCACTAACCAAAGTAGCTGGTACATAGACTTTTATTACTGCCTGTGTGTCTACTTGCAGAAGTTTGTACCTTGTATTGTTTTCCTTTCTCTTCCTCTCACCTGACCCCACCTTCAGTTCCTATCCCCTGTTCTCCTTGTGATGAAAATATGCATGTAGCTGCTGTTAATGAGTGAACAAAGTTAAAAAAAAAACCTTTATAAAATATAACACTATCCTAATGTAACAAAGATTGTGCTGTGGAAACCGATGTAAAGCTTCACAGATGTGCAGTGAGAAGTGGGGATGGCGTACTCTAGAGGATGTGCTAATGTGCAACAGTAATTAGAATAAAATCTAAAAAGGATTAGAAAATCAAGTACAAAGGATACAGCTTCAAAGATTAAAGTCATAAATGAATTCAGTGCACATATTTCCCAATGCCACTTAAAACCCATTAGACAATTAAATAATGAATTTGTGTCTTTTATCACGTAAAATGACAAACACCAAGATTTTGTGCTTTTCTGTGTTGGACTGTTGGTTGGACAAAAACAAAATTAGACTCCGGGAAAAATGGTAAACTACAAAAAATGTAATTATTTTTTTTTAGAATAAATGATGATGAAAAACACCAATAATGAAAATGGTAGTAAGTTCCAGCCCTAACAACGTTTGCTCCAGCCTTGCAGTTGGTGTTTTTAAAATTTCCTCAGCTTTTGTTTTTTACTGGGTGATAGAGAGGATGTAACTGTGAGCGAAAGAGAACACATTTGATACTATTTTTGTAACATTTCACTCTATTCAGTTCACCATAGTGTGTGGCAGCAAATACGTATACAGAGAGACGTATGTCATCCATCCAAGGCTCCAGACTGGATTCACGCCCAGGATGTCACAGCTTCTTGCAGGGTTTGCCAATAAAATGCTAACTTCCGTGAGATGGTAGAAATTTGTTAGTCATCAAAAATGTTTCTAAACCATTTCTACTGTGGTGGCTATCCCTTTAATTTCTGGTTGTTTTTGACTATTGCAGACGACGTGGCAAATCAATGATCCGTATTGATTCATGGCAATGCTTCTGCGGTACTGTTGCCGTCAGTTTGATTACCTTGATTGTCTGGTGCTTAATTAATATTTACATTTCACATTACCAGATTTTTTAAAAATGGATTTAAGATAAAAAGTACTACACCACAGTCTGTTTCAATAATGTGATCTAAAATTGCATGAACTGTGATAGAAGATTTTATTCAGATTACCTCTTTCCATGGTTTGTGATCAAGAACAACAGGGCGCTCCACAGTGAAATGGTTACTTTGCATGATACAAGGATATTTACCACTAAACCGCTTCTAGTTCTTGGAAATTCTGAGTTAAATTGATACACATGTATTGTTCTCACATCACTGAGCCTCTGCATAAGATGCCTTTTTAGCATGCTGCTGGAACGCATCCTTATAATTATGCTGTTCACGCAATCCCAAAACAGTTGATGTGCTTGGCATGCACCAGAGCAGACTAATAATCAGACACTGATGGAAATGCTGCCAAAAAAGCCTAACTGAATTATTTTTGCGCTCCATGAATAATGTAGAACCTGTTTTCTATAAAGTGAAATTGAAGGCTATCTATTGAGCAGTGAGCCTGCGCCACCAAATTAGCATTTTTGAGAGCATCTAGGGGTCAAGGTAATCCATCACTTTCACAGCAGACATTGTTATGCCATAGATGGTATTCATGAATCCTGCACACAGATGATTAAATCAAAAAGCTGAAACAGAATTTGTTCCTGACCTCCTGTACTTAATGTAAAGTGCACTGAAATAGAGCCACAGTGCTGGTCTCCTAAATCGATTTCTCCTCAACATCTAGGAGAACATGTGCGTCCTCTCTGCAGTCTTTTGATTTTGTGCGTCATAGCAAAAGAGAATAAAGACATAATGAAATGCTGCAGTTCATAATTTAAAGTAATGTTCTACAGGTTACTTTTATGTCAGGTGTTTTACAGTGGTGAATATTTCCAGTGTGATCACATCACAGAGTTTCTACATATCATAGTATTAAATACTGCACAGTGACTAACCCTGCAAAACCTCAAGTCCAGTCAGTAATTGTCATTTGGTGTAGGCTAGAATTTTTGCTCAGTTAAAAATGATAATCTGTTGTATCTGTGCAAGGGATAAAATTGAAATGTCTGGTTGGGAAAAGGCTAAAAGATGTATTGTTACAGAGGGTTAAGCTCGGGATGAATGCGGTTTATCTCAACTATGGCAGTAAAATCTAAGGGTGAATATGCAGAGCACATTTGTTCTCATGTGTAAAGGTCAGGTTAGGCATTTAAAAAGCTCATCTTACGGGTCATTTACCAAATCGTCTTTCAGGATGTCACAGGGTGTCAGTGATGCAGAGGAAGATGCTTGAGCCACATCTTCAGAGAAATTGAGGCAGTCTTCTGTTAGCACCTGGTATATCGCATGTTGGTTCCTAAATCCAGCTCATTTCATTAACTATTTTGACCTTGGAAATTCACATACAGTGCCTATAAAAAGTATTCACCCCCTTGGATGTTTTACCCTTTTGTTGATTTTATAAATCAATCAAGGTCCATATAATTTGTCTTTTTTGACCCCCCCCCCCAAAAAACCTCTTTAATGTCAAAGTGAAAACTGGTTTCTACAAAGTAATGTCAATTAAATAAAAATATTTAAGGGGGAAATAAGTGATTGCATAAATATTCACCCCCTTGAAGTCAATATTTAGTAGATGCACCTTTGGCTGAAATCCCAGCACTGAGTCTGTGTGGATAGGTCTTAATCAGGCTTGCACGTCTGGACACTGCAATTTTACTCCATTCTTCTTTGCAAAACTGCTCAAGCTCTGCCAGGTTGTGCGGGGATCAGGCATGAACAGCCCTTTTTAAGTCCAGCCACAAATTGTCTATTGGATTGAGGTCTGGGCTTTGACTCAGCCACTCCAGAACACCCACCTTGTTGTCTTTAAACCATTTCTGAGTAGCTTTCGCTGTATGGTTTGGGCCATTGTCTCGCTGGAATATAAATCTTCTCCCAAGACGTAGTTCTCTTGTGAACTGAATAAGATCGTCCTCCAGGACTTTCCTATATTTAGCCGCGTTCATTTTACCCTCTACCTGCCACTGCTTCACGGTGGGGATGGTGTGTTTGTGGTGATGTGCAGTGTGTGGTGTCTGCCAAACAGTGTGTTGTGTCTGATGGCCAAAAAGCACCATTTTGGTCTCATCAGACCAAAGAGCTTTCTTCCACTTGACCACGGAGTCTCCCACATGCCTTTTGGCGAACTCTAGTTGAGCTTTAATACGAGTTTTCTTCAACAGTGGCTTTGTCTTTGCCACTCTCCCATAAAGCTTTGACTGGTGAAGAACCCGGGCAACAGTTGTTGTATGCAGTCTCTCCCATCTCAGCTGCTGAGGCTTGTAACTCCTTCAGAGTAGTCACAGGTGTCTTGGTGGCCTCTCTCGCTAGTCTCCTTCTTGCACGGTCACTCAGTTTGTGAGGACGGCCTGTTCTAGGCAGATTTAGACATGTGCCATATTCCTTCCATTTCTTGATTATGGATTTAACTGAACTCTGGGGGATGTTCAGTGCCTTGGAAATATTTTTGTATCCATCCCCAGGACTTATGCTTTTCAATAACCTTTTCTCTGAGTTGCTTGGAGTGTTCTTTTGTCTTCATGGTGTAATGGGAACCAGGAATACTGATTAACCAGTGACTGGACCTTCCAGACACAGGTGTCTTTATAATGCAGTCACTTGAGACACATTCACTGCACTCTGGTGATCCCCATGTCACTAACTGTGAGACTACTAGCACCATTTGGCTGGACCTCTGTTGAATTAGGTCAGTCATTTTAAAGGAAGTGAATATTAATGCAAATACTTATTTCCCTTTACATATCATTATTTAATTGACATTACTTTGTAGAAACCGGTTTTCACTTTGACATTAAAGAGGTATTTTTTGTAAAAATCTTTTTGGTCAAAAAAGCCAAATTATATGGACCTTGATTGATTTTATAAAATCAATAAAAGGGTAAAACATCCAAGGGGGTGAATGCTTTTTATAGGCACTGTATTCTGGTCCAGTGATGTTTGCCTTGGTTCATCTCAGACTTGCCTTAGAAAATACGCTGAAAAACATTGAAATGAATTTAGCCGTGAGGACCAGTTTCTGTATCTACATCCAAAACAAGTAATAGATCATATCTAGTGGAAACACTAAGGCCCAGCTTTCAAACTTACAATGCATAAGAAAGCTGGAAAATCCTAAAAGCTACACCATTACAAAAGAAGCTTATAAAATGTGCAGTGAGTTTCTGGAGGGAACAATTACGAACATTTCCTTGAGATTCAAGAAAGTTGAGAAGTTTTTCTTTGTTGCAGATGTCTTTGATTTGTGTGTACGGGTCTTTGTTGGCATAGACGGTTTAATAGCAAGCAAGCAACATTTGGATAGACACATCTTTGCACAGGTATTATCAAAGTATCTCTGACAGTCCAACTCAGAGATCCAAAAGCCTCTATCAGCACAGAAATTGTGTGAATCCTGTCCAAGCAACCAGGTGGGAATTTAATTATCCTACTATGAACCTGGAAGAAGATGGAGCCTATCAGTTTACATGTTTTTTTCTTTCTTTAAGACAGTTTTTGGCTATTCTTTTCTTAACCTGGACATTTGCAGAAAAATGTAGTGAGGGCCTAAAAAGATTCCTGTACTAGGAATATGGGAAACACTCTCCCTTCTCAGACTAAAACCACGTTGGCTGGTTTTCTCAACCATGTTACATAATTTCAGGTTTCAACACAGCATTGCTTTTGGGATTTCCATCTAGAAAGCTTGGATTTCTGTTGGATTTATATTAATAATGTATTCTGTTTATTCTTTCTTGGATACAAGTCACACACTAGCAAAAGCATGACTTCTGTGATACTGTTTTTATAGCATTTGCCATAATTTCAAATTGTTCATGTATATTTACAGTCAGTACAGCTCATTTTTAAAAACTAGATTGCCCTCAACTGAAACCTGACCTACATCCAAGACATACACACCAGCCATACACATACATACATACATACAGTCTCAAATCTTATTACACACAGGTAAAATTATAGTTTGTGTTTTTGTAATAAGTTATTCAAATATCTGAATTTCACACTACTACTGCAAATCTTACCATTTTGATAGTTCAGTTTTCCATTAAAATTTAGTGCCGTACATTTTTCTGTCTTCTCGTTTGATCCGGACAAAAAATAAAACACACACGTGTTAATTGTGAGTATAATGAGTACTTGTAACTGGTGTGATATTAAATCATAGTGTGCCCTGTGCTGGAACATCAGGACTAATTTGCTGATTATAATTTGATCTGAATTCAAACAGTGGTAACTGCTGTCCTGTCCCGCTCATTACAGGGAGTTTGGTAATATGACTGCTTATAATGAACACAGCAGTCATATTACCAAATTAATTTCTGATTGCTTTATTCAGAAAGAGTCTGTTTAGGTGTCCTTATTTGCACCTGTTCTAATGCGCATCTTCATAAGAGATGCTTTGAAGACCTTTCTTTTCAGGAGAACAAGCGGTGTCAAATCGTGTTGCATCATAAATAAAAAGCCTATTGTGATGAGTTGTCTTCAAAAACCTTCAACAAAGCCTCTCAGATGAATAATAAAATGCCTCAAAAAGTGGCTTTTGTTATAATTAACAGGTGTTACAAGATGAGAAGGGCTTGACCATCCATGAAGACACAAGCTCTCATTCAGTTCCTTTTATTATAAGTAATCTTTTTGCAAATCTGTTATCCTGCAGTTAAACTTCAAAATAAACAGCAGATTTCTATTCTGTTAAACACTGAATGTGTGCCTTTTGCTAAAAGTCTCTTCTCAGTGATCTGTGTTGGTTCGGTTTTCAATATAGTGTGGTACATTTTACAGTAAGATATACTAGTCAAGTATTTCTTTGATGGTTGAACCGGGGACCGATTGAATGAAAACGGTTGCGTTCAAAGGAAAGATAAAATTGACGTAAAGATGTGCCAACATCTTCAGGTTGATAGGAATGCGTGAAAGAGTG